ACAACTTCAGTCCATATTATGAAAAACCAGAAAGATCTCTACTGGCATTCCTTTACATAAAGAGTACACATGAAATATCAATAACATGATATCTATAGTAATGCGTATAAACTTGACACTTGAGCATGAGTTTTATTCATAAATCTACACCAATTTACTAGGATAAACACAAATGCCTTGAAATAACAAACCTAATCTGTGTTCCAGAGCCCCTGGCTATATATCACATGAATATTCAAATGAGCACCAACAGTATGATAATGAAAACTAAAAGCCAGAAACAGAAAAAACCGCCCATGGCAGCTCAACTTATTTTAACAGACTTACTATTGCCAGCTTGTTGTCCCAGCTTTGCCATGTCCCAAACCTGCAGAGAACCACCAAGATTTTTTAGGTGAGCAAATAATAATTAGGCCACCCTAAGAAACTTAAAGAGAAGACCTACCTTCAAAGAAGAGTCTGAAAATCCACCAGCAACCAAAGCTCCATCATGAGATATTGATGAACAGTTTAAACTACATCAGAATAAATGATATCAATTGCATGCGCATTGAGACTGAATAAACTGTTGACATAGCAGAAACAGAAAGAAAACTTGATGGATACCCGTTGTGTGTATTAATGAAGGTATAAAAGCTGACTGATGGCAGAGCAACAGAACTCAACTGCACACGGTTTCTCAAGTCTTCAAGAATAGATTGTTCCACCTCTGTTGTACTGGAAGCAATCAACACGACAAATCAATAGCAAGGAAGAGCAGTGTGGCTGTCGTAGTACAGTAATCACTTAGCTAAGAGCTATATTTTATGACTGTAGGCAACAAAATAACATAAGATTCAAGAAAATACATTATAGGTAAAGCAAGCTCTGGCTTCACTCGTGGCGCCATAGATGCAGAATTAGCTTCAGCCCTCAGAGTTTTCCCAGGTGCACCGGCAGTCTTGTCCTTCTTGACCTTCTTAATTGAAGCACCTTGCTTTCCTCCCTCAGTTGTTCTTTTCTAAACAAGCAAATGACGACATGCAACTCATGAGATTTTATAATAAACAATAATACGATGCAGATTTATAAAATAGTAGCAATTTAATAACAACTTATAGATAAAAGACAGGATATCCGCTAAAGATAAGAAGCACAGAATCACCACAGGTACCTTATTCTCATCCACGTCACCATCCTTGGTTTCTACCTCAGCCTTCTCAGAATCTGAAAGCAAACCAGCAGCTTTCTCCAAGCGTTCCTCTAAAGAATCTTCAAGTAACTATTACCAACATAAATTTAAATATAACAATCAAGGAATTTGAAATTGAAGAGGATGTCAAATCAGAAAAAGTTAAAATGAAAGAAAGGAAGAAGAGAGAAAAGAAAACCCATAAACAGCACATACAGATTGTTACCATAATTTACATTATGACATAATTTTTAATTCTTTTAGAGAAAACTGAAGGATATCTTTCTACGTTTTAAATTGAGAAAAGGACCAAAGATGTCACAGCTTATCAACAAAATAATAATAGAAAAAACCACAACCAAGCATAATAATAAACAACCCAAAGATCAGAACGTATAGGCTAAGTAAGTTGGTAGTTTGCCCACCCACCCCCCATTGGACTTCTTTTTTATTTATCTGATTGGCAGTCTCCTGGGTGCTTCCCGAGAGTGTCACAAGTTCAGCATCATCAGATATTGAGCTAGGCTGACCAGGGAAAACTGCAAAACCAGATGAAGGTTATAATAGAGTCAGAAGATAAAACACTTACAACTTGCATAAAAACTAGACGATCTGAAGCAAGGGTTAAAAGGAAACAGACCTTGGAAGTTGATACGCTCATTGATAATCCCAAGTATCACTGTGGTTTGGGTCTTATGAAGATATTGAAGTAGCATCTCATAGGAGTACTAAACAACATAATTGGAAAATAAAACCTTTCAGAAAATATAGTTTGATTAGTTAAGTTCTGTTCATGAGAGATCTAAAATGACCGATAGATAAGAAAGCAAATGCATGATAATCATGAACATGATACTAAATAATGATTGAAAACCTAGGGATTACCTGGCATATTTTTATGTTAACTTTGCTCTGCCTTAGAGAATGAGCAAATTCCATCTCCTAGAATATATTATCATCATAATGTCAAAACCAGTGCCATCGCCACAAAACAATGACAGGAACATAAGAAAGTCATTACTGGTTAACAACAAACCTCCAAATGAGAAGGAGATAGTACGCCTTCCAACTTTTGTAGATCTCGTAGGTGCAACATTTCATGGTCTTCACGGAACCTATTGAAAAAGGTTCGAGCTGGAAGATAACAAGCAAAATAATAAAAAAGTAATCATACGTATCTCCATCACATGAGATTGTAAAAGAAAAATTAGTTTGCAAACCTTCTTGAATATGTCCTTTAGCCACAAGATCCATGAAACAATGGATAAACACAGGATATAGCACACGAAGCAATTCATGCTGAAATGCAAGAATTAAAGTTCTCATTATCGGAAGGAAAAGTTTAGAATGAATCATAAATTCAAGGAAAAAATTAAACAACTACTTACCTTGTACAAATCTAGCGAGTTGTAAGCCCAGGACCTAAGCTTGCTATATCCTTCAAGGTATCTGGCTGGAATATTCTCTACTCTGGAAACAAAAACAATGAAGAGCAAAAAAAAACTCTATAAATACTTCTGTTCAATAAAATACAATATGTTAATGAAAGAAGCAAATAAACAAGAATGAGGATGGCAACCACGACATTATTGCTATCCTTCTAAACCCAAAAGCCAAGAGAGATCTCAAAGAAAATTTCTAATTGTAACATAAATGAAAACATGTGTAATGAGAGTGTGTGTAGACTATGTTACATATACTAAGTGATTTGGAATTGGCTGCTTTAGATTTGGCTGTAGACTATGTTTGGCGTTCAACCTATTTATCTTTTTGGCAGCTTGAGATAGAGAGAGCTCAACGTAGAACATATTTCCATATCAAAAGGAGGTAGGTACACTCTTATACAAGCTACCCTTTCTAGCATGCCTCCATACTAACTTAGTTTAAATGACCATCAAAGGTGGCCACATCTTTGGAAAAATTCATTCCACATTCCTCTTGGAAAGGTTCGAAACGAGATTTTGGCTTGCATAACGTCAGTTGGGAGATGAATCAATTATCCCATCTCTTGGGAGGCTTTGAGAATGGAAATTTCTGTTTGAAATTCAGCACTCTTGGCTAAATGGATTTGGAGGTTTTTCATGGTTTGTGAAACAAAATAATATGGAAATATGAGGAATCATCCTACATTATTTTAGCTAAATGGATTTGGAGATTTGGAGATTCCACAAAGTTTATTAAAAAAAAAAAGTCCAAATTCCAGGATCCATCATGGACTCTCTCTAACTGTTACTAAACAGTAATCTTTTGTAATTTGCTTCTAAATGAAGTGGTTTCTTGTAAGCTCCTAATCCTCCGGAAAAGTACACGTAAATTGAGAATACGCTACCCCACAAGATATGATCAGCATTTTCAAGTAAGTAGCTCTCAAGGGATTAACATTAGCTAGGGTACAAGTCTAGTCGTTATAATCAAAAGCATTTAAAATCAATTCATCCTACAAGAAACCATTCGCTCTATTTCTTAAACCCATCGTCCGTAACACTCCACAAAAAAATTCTAGTTTACAACCATAGATCCTTAAAAAAACACTTCAAACTTTTTAATTTCTCAACATACAAAACAAACAAAGGTTCGACTGATTCAAAAGTTCGCACAACATAAGAACTAACAAAATGCAAATGAAAGTTCGGAATCGAGATGAATTACAAGGGGAGAGAAATTACTCAGAGAAGGAGAGCAAGCGCTTAGCGAAGTCGAGGTCAATGGAAGAGGCTGAAGAGGATGAATTAGTCTTGTTATGGCGTAACTCATCCTGAAAAGCTTGTTCCGTTTCTTTGAAACCCTTCTTCTTCAAGTACGCTGACACGAAATTCGCTATCTGTTCTTCGTCCATTCTGCAACGTTCTGCAATTCACCTTCCCGCTCCACAAATTTGCCCCTTCCCGCACTTCTCCACGGCTCTCTCTCTCTCTCTCTCTCTCTCTCTCTCTGGAAGGAAACTGGGAGAGGAGGGAACTGTAACTGGACTGGGCGCGGGCTAGGTGTTTTATTAATGGGCCTGAAAATATCGGAAATTCTGAAAAATATCAAATATATTATGTAAAAATTAAAATTAGTTGACTTAATATATTGGACAAAACATTATGAGTAATGTGAAATTACCAAAATCCTCTGATTAAAATTCATAATTACGAAAGTAGAATCTTAAATTCGTAATAGTGTAATTAAAAACAAATAAAAATACATTGGAGTTGGAGCTCATTGGACCTATCTCGGCCCATTTTTATGGGCTTCATTGTTCCAAATTTCGGTGGGCCCATCTAAGCCCACTCAAATAGTCCAATAATTACCTTATCCATATATTATAAATAATGAAAAGGGAAAATATATATATATATATATATATATATATATTTTTTTTTTTTTTTTTTTTTTAATATATCAGATTTGAGTATATATAAAAATAATATTGCAGTTTTTTAAAAATAATATGACAGTAATTTTGAAGAGTAGTTTTCGGATTTTAACCTTAGAAAGGGTAAATTAATAATTTTCTTAGATAAATTGTAACGACCCAGATCCACGATATTGTCATCTTTGGACTTTCCCTTTCGAGCTTCCCCTGGAGGCTTTAAAACCTGTCTGCTAAGGAAGGTTTCCACACTTTTATAAATGAAGGTTTGTTCTCATCCCCAACTAATATGAGATATCACAACTCACTCCCCTTCAAGGTCCAACGTCCTCGCTAGCACTCTTTCCTTCCTCTAATCGATGTGAGACCACCCCCAAATCCACCCCCTTTGGGGCCAGCGTTCTTACTGCCACACCGCCTCGTGTCTACCCCATTTCGGGGAACAGCGAGAAGGCTGACACATTGTCTAGTGTCTGGCTCTGATACCATTTGTAACGATCCAGATCCACCGCGAGCAGATATTGTTCTCTTTGGGCTTTCTCTTTCGTACTTCCACTAAAGGCTTTAAAACGGCCTGTTAGGGGAAGGTTTCACACCCTTATCAATAGCTTTTTCCATCTTAAATCATAGTAATTTTTTAATTTTAAATATTTTTTAAATTTAAAAACATATGAAAGGGAAGCTTTAAATTTTTCAATTTCATAATTAAAAAAAAAAACTAGACACGAACAAACATATTTTATCAAATATAGCTGGCGATTAATAAGTCAAAAGTTCGAATCTCTAATCCGTTTGTTTAATTAAAAAAGTAACTAGACAAAAAAAAAAAATTGTTAATAAAAATTACCTACGCGAGCTCGAGAAGCTTAGCTGGGCCAACTCTACACAAGCTCGAAAAATTTAGGTAGGCCGACTTTCCTCCATCCAAATATTAGATGACGAATTTCTCATGAAACGTAAGTTAACAATAGTAAACGACACATATCAAACATAAACTCGGCTTCAACCTAACGGGTACCTACAAAATCTTGTATCGATCATTCGAGGGGCACATGGGGTGATGTATGGGTCGAAAGCAATTGAAAAGATGTCACTGTAGCTTAAAAGATGAATTATTGGTAGTGGTGACGATGACGTGGCTCATGCCCCCACTGACTTTGCCCATGAAAAAACTGTCCAGCTGGATTTTAACTGGGCCACGTCGACACGCTCAACGGCAACAAAATTCTCAGGTCCATACGTGGCTTGCCAAATACTCAAAACTAATATATATATTTCAAATCCAAATAATGGCTTATCATATCGCTTTCCCTGTCTGTGGGGCCACGCAAATATGCTCCAGCACTCTAAACGAATTAAAATTTTATTTGATAACAATTATTTATAAATAAATAAATAAAAGTAATGATTTACGTGCTTTTTTGTTTTTTAATATGTTTTAAAAATAATTTTTAAATTATAGCTCAATTTAAAAAATAGGAGTAATTTTCCCTTTTAATTGACAAAATTCACTCGCTAGAATAAATTTATTTTTAAATTTTTTTTGTATTTATTAAGTAAAATAATAATATAAGTAATATGACTTGGGTTCCATAACTATTTAGTTATTTTTTATATATTTTAAAATAATAAATTTTTTCATAATAAAATCAATAAAAATTATCAAGTTATTTTCTTGGGACCCATTTGAGGATATATTTGAAATGACACTATTATTTGAGGATCAAATTTAAATAAAAATAAATAAATTATTTTTAATTAGAAAAAAAGGTGGGGGTTGTAGTACGTGGCTCGACACGAATGGAAGCTTTCACACCAACCATTACCAAGCAAAAATGAGGTGTGGTGCGAAACTATTGGCTAGAAGGTCGTTGCCCATGCCCTGCCCTTTAAGTTGCGGTGGCTAGGTTATCATGACCAACGTTTATGGGACCGTCTTAATTAACTTTAAAACCCTTAATTATTGGTGTAATGGAAATAGAGTTTAACCTAAATTATTAATTTCCTTAGCTAATTAAGTAGTTGGAGCTGCCTCCCACTAAAAAGGCAGAAATTCCTCGAGATAATATATTTTTTTTTTTTGGAAATAAATAAACCAATCAAAACTCGCCATGTGGATTATTATTGGAAACAACTCAATTTTAAATTTTAAAATTGGTAATTATTTAATTTCTTTTATTATCATTATTTTCAGTATAATATAATTTTGCTTCCCTCAGAAATAAAATAATACAATGATTAATAATAATAATCTTTTTAAAAATTTTAAAAATTTTAAAAATTTAAAAAATTGAGCAGCCGCTAATGGAGTGGCTAAGCGCCGGGTAATCTTTATCAAAGTGAGCCGCGCCAGCGGGACCTGATTTATTTATTTTTATTTTATTCCAATTATGCCCCTTGGAGGCAGCGGGGCGCTTTACTTTGCTTTTTCCTCGTTTCTCAAAATATGGAAAAGTTCGAAAATGAAAATGAAAAAAATAAAATATTACATTTAAACTTTAATAATAAATAAAATAATTAATAGCTTGTAACAATGGCACTTTTGATGGTAGCTGATTTGCGATTGTGCGATACACATTTCTTAGCAAAAAGTGAGTTAAGTCAAGTTCTTATTGCGTTGCCCACGGCCAAGCGACGTATGCTCGAGCCTCTAACCCCAGTTTAAAAAGAAAGTTGTAGAAAACGGGAGTAGAGAGGTTTCGAAAGAAAGTTTTGAAAATAAGATTTGAGAGATTGAAATTGATGTTATATGTGATGCAAGCAAAAAGACAACAATAATTAACATGTACTGTCTCTTTTAAAGCGGAACAGAAAAGTAGGTAAGAGATGTTTGTACGTGGTGAAGTGCACATTTGCCATTTTTAAAATTTTTCAAATAAATAAAAAAGCGACGACCGTTACGAATAATTAGTTTTATATAATAAAAATAAATATGATTTAATCCTATAAAATTATAATAATATTTTTATGTAGACTAATTTTATTTTACGTGTTATTTTAAAATATATTTTAATTACCATATATCTATTAATTCTTAAATTAAATGACACGTAATAAGAGAATAATAAAAAAAAATTTAAGACTAAATAATCACCGTCGGCAAACCCCCATGCGCCGGTCGGGATTACCGCCGGTTGTTTCGAGACAATGCTGGATTTCCAAGTCCCACGCGCTCTTGACTTTCTACATAAAAGAATTCGCTTCCGACAAGCTGGTGGGGTCCATCGCGTCTAAATTAAGTGGAAAAGAAAAAAAAAAAAAAGAAACAAACAAATCAATCAAATCGATAAATTTAAAAATAAAATTTAAACTCCAATATTCAAAATGTATTTATAACCTTACCAAATCAAATAATTTTTGCACTTTCAACAGAAAAGTGCAAAAATTAATTTTTTTTTTTTTGTTAGTTTCAAATTAATTTATCCAACCTATAAAAGGTACATTAATAAAAATACGATGTAAATATTTTTTCTTTAAAAAGAAGTTTACATAAACATTTAATTTTTAGCCTAAATTAACTATGTATCGAAACTATACAGCTAAAATATAGTATGTTATATAGTATGTTCTAAAATATACGATGAATTTCTATATATATTTTTTAAATAAGTTCAATTTTTAAGCTATTTAATATTAATTAAAAAAAACAATGAAATTGTAATTTGATAAGTATTATTTTTAAATAAAATTTATATAATTTAGTAACTATATGATTTTAAATTTACAAAATATTGGAATTCTATTTACAAACATTAAAATTTATAAATTTCAATTAAAAAAACAGAGTTGCCCATTCATGGTTTATCATTTTATTTTCCATTTGTTAAATATAATTTTTAAATCTTATCGAAATTGCAAAATAATAATTAAAAAAACAATAATAAAAATATTTTTTTATTTCCCCCTTCCTTGATTTCGAAATTATATCATATTCTCGGAAACTCTATTTAAATTATTCAATCACAAAACTAACAAATTAATTACAAAAAAAAACTTTTAAAATTAAATTAAATTTCAATCCAGCTTTTAATAATGTCAAATATATTAAATTCTAAGATACCCACAATTATATTTTTATTTAATAAGGTAAATCTATTGTTGGTTATAGTCAATTGCGGGCTAAGTTAGGAGTATAACTCTCACCGGTGTTTTAGACAGCTTCTAAACTTTCTTTTAAATTTTGTTCTGTATCAATATAGTGGTTAAGAAATCTTAAAACGCTATTATAAGGACTAACCCGTCACAATCAACCAATTTTTTATATAAAAATAAATTAAATGATAATTTAAAGTAATAGATGACAATTAAATAATGTTTGTATATAAAAATATTGGTTAATCGTCGATAGACATCATTGCTAGCAGCCAAATTACGAGGGCTGATTAAACCAAAAAATAAAAATAAAAAAGAGATTAGTTAGGGGAAAAGCCAAGTGGGCAAAGATATTTGATTGTTTATAATTACATTATAAAAATATTAATTTTATGTTAATATTCACATTTTTTTTAAAATAAATAAATTTATACACATATAATTTATTTTTAATTATAAATTAAAAAAAAATGTCGTTAATAATATTTTTTATAAATAAAAATTTTAAAATTTTAACACTTTTATATAATTTATAAAATTATTTAGTTTTTTAAATACTAAATTAAAAATTTAATTTAATAGGTATTTTTAAAATTTTAGAGAGGGACTTATTTTAAGAATTTAAGATTATTTATATTTTTGTCCTATTATAATACAGGTAGTGTATATGCCTACTTTTGGGGCTTGTGGGCTTCTCCTCTATGTATAAAAACCACGGTAAGGAATCCTTTCTGTGTGCTCAAGAACCAGGAATCGCGGCGGTTCCCAGTTTTTACCTATTTCTCTCTTCTTCAGTCAACTATCTCTCCCAGTTTCAAGCCTTGATTCTTATAATTTCACACACAATCTCTGGATTTCCTCGATGGAATCCGTCGGAATCAGTATCTACGCCGTCCTTTCCTCGATTCCGTCGCTGTATTTTTCCACGATTGTAAGTGAATTTCTGATCTAGATACGGAATTGGCCTTGATTCAAATCTTTGTGTGTGTGTGTGTGTGTGTGTTTGTGTGTGTGTGTTTGGGGATTCTCTGTTTTAATGGAGGAGAGGCATGTTCTGTTTGGTAAATATGAGATTGGGAGGTTGCTTGGGAAGGGGACTTTTGCTAAGGTCTATTATGGAAAAGAATTGGAGTCTGGAGAAAGTGTAGCGATTAAGGTTTTAAACAAGGATCAGGTCAAGAAGGAAGGGATGATGGAGCAGATCAAGCGCGAGATCTCCGTTATGCGTCTTGTTCGTCATCCAAACATTGTTGAGTTGAAGGAAGTAATGGCGACGAAGACGAAGATCTTCTTCGTTATGGATTATGTTCGCGGTGGTGAGCTTTTTGCCAAAGTTGCAAGAGGAAGACTCAAGGAAGATGTGGCTCGGAAGTATTTCCAGCAGTTAATCAGTGCCGTCGATTACTGTCATAGTCGTGGAGTTTCTCACCGCGATTTGAAGCCGGAGAATCTTTTGCTGGATGAGAACGAAGATCTCAAGATCTCCGACTTTGGACTCTCCGCTCTACCGGAACAGCTTCGGAACGATGGTCTTCTCCACACGCAGTGCGGGACTCCGGCCTACGTCGCACCGGAAGTACTAAGAAGAAAGGGCTACGATGGAGCCAAAGCCGATATCTGGTCTTGCGGTGTGATTTTGTATGTTCTGTTAGCAGGATTCCTTCCGTTTCAGGATGAGAACATCATGACTATGTATAAGAAGGTTTTCAAGGCCGAATTCGAATGTCCGCCATGGTTCTCCGCTGAAGCGAAGCGTTTGATTTCAAAAATCCTCGTCGTAGATCCAGAAAGACGAATCACAATCGGAGCAATCACGCGAGTTCCTTGGTTCCGCAAAGATTTCTCAAGATCGCTCTCGTTCACGATGAAAGAATTAGTCACAGCGAAAACAGAGGATTCCGATTCCGAGAGTCCAAAACTATCGACGCCAAAATTCTTCAATGCGTTCGAGTTCATATCGACGATGTCATCGGGATTCGATCTATCGAGCTTATTCGAAAACAAAAGGAAGACGGGATCCATTTTCACATCGAGATGCTCAGTGTCGACGATCATGGAGAAAATCGAGACGGTGGCGAAGAGACTGAGCTTCAAGGTCTCGGAAGTGAAAGACTTCAAGCTCCGGCTGCAAGGTCCGGGGGAGGGGCGAAAAGGAAAGCTATCTGTGACGGCGGAGGTGTTCGAAATAGCGCCGGAAGTTGCCATAGTCGAATTTTCAAAGTCGGCCGGGGATACTCTGGAATATTCGAAGTTCTGTGAAGAAGACGTTCGGCCGGCGTTGAAGGACATCGTTTGGACGTGGCAAGGTGATTGTGTCCCCACCGGTGACGGACGTCACGGCCAACTTGACGGCGACGGCTTTTTGTGAAAAAGGGAGATAGATGGTGACAGCGTGTGTGAAGATTGGTTTCTGTTACAAGTTTTAACTGCTTTTTCTTAAACACAAATAGCCTTTTGGAGGGAAAAGAGTGCTTTTTTGCTGCGAGTTTTTGTGAATACTAACTTTACCAAATACAATTATAAAAACAACATCTAAACAGTAACAAAATTTAAAATACAAATACCAAAATTATATTTTAATTAAATATAATATGGGTGATTTTGTACTACACAGTTAATTGGCTACTTGAATTTCAATTACCATTCACTGAAAATTTGATGGACTTCGATGTTATACTCGGCCCAAATTGAATTCGTTTGTTCGGCCCATTTATTATTCGGCCCATACTGAATTCGTTTGTTCGGCCCATTTCCACTGTCAGGCCTAGGGGCCCAAAACCAGATTCGATGCAAGCTGCAAATATTTAAATAAGTTTTTTTTAAAAAAAAAATCAAAACTTCCATCATAATTTATTTGAAATTATTAAATTATTATATATATATAGCTGGCAGGTTCAAATATATCACTAATATTTTTAATAAGTGATATTGAAATTTAATATATATTTTAATAAAGTTTCCGAAGGCAACATTCTTCCTTTTTTTTATTCCTTTTGATACACAAAATAATAGCAATCACTTAATTATTGCATGCCAGCACATTAATATTTTAGAATATGATTCTTTTTAAGAAAACATTAGTGGACGATAATATTAAACTGCTGACGTGCGAGCCATTTTTTTCTCAATAAATAAATAATCTTCAATTTGAGTTGAAATTCATTGTAATAATATCTTTTATTCATTTAAAAAAAAATCTAATCTAATATTTGAAATTGAAGTTTATCACATTAGTGAAATGATTTATCAGTTTAAAATTTGATTTTTATGATTTTTGTAATTAAATAAAACCAATTCATATGATTTTTGGAAAGGTAGATCTGGAACTGAATTTATCACAGTTGTCTAAAACTAAATTCAAAACTATTATAATTTAGAATATATGCAATCACACTTTTCTCAATTATAAAAATATTTATTTCTAAAATAATTTAATAAAGAAAAAAAAAAAAAGCAACAGCATATGATTCTGATTCAGAAGAAAAATTTGTAAAAAAAAAAAAAAAAAAAAGGTATAAGATAGAATGAAAAAGAATATGAACTAAATATCAAATCGTCATTCTTACTAAGTTTGACTAAAAAAATTTGAGGAGAGAGAAAGAAATTTGAATTTTTTTCTTATTTTCCACTTTTATTTATTTATTATTATTATTATTATTATTTTTCAATTCGGTCCAACTTAAAATATTATTTATAAATATTTTCAAATTTTAAGTTATATATTTTTACAGCTTAAAATTAAATTATTTTTATTATTTTTCCAATAAATTGAATCCATTTTTTAAAATGTGAAAACATAATGGAGGAGTAAGCCATTCTTTAATATAATATATCTTGGAGGTGCAAATAATTTCATAAAAAATATATAATCAAATTAATATAAAATTTGTTGTTATTATTATTATTATTATTATATATAATTATAATTTCTATATAATGATTCATACAAATTGGTTAAAATATTAGTTACTTTTTTTAAAAATCAATCTAAATTTTATTAATTATAATTATTAAAATTAATATACGATTTATAAGTTCAAAACTAATTTTTTAAAATAAATATACACAATTTAAAATCCATACAAAATTCATAATTATCCATAAACTTTTTTCAAGTATTAAAAATTAAATATGTCAAATAATTTTTTTTTTTTAAATTGGGACCTCGACAAATCGAATCGAGCATATTGGTACAAAACGAAAAACTAAGAACCAAATCGTTATAAATAAAAAAAAAGTTCTTCAATAGTCAATAAAATTTGGTGAAATTTTAATATATTCCTCTTTTTGAAAGACGTAAAGTTGCTTTTAAGTATTTTAACCATTAGGTTAAGATTAGTATCGTTTTCAAATTTAAACTTTACATTTCTTGTATTTTTCTCACAAACTATCCGACCGAGAATTTCTTTCTCTATACCTTTTTTTTTCGGGAAAATATTATCTCTATAAAGTTTGTTAAGATATGTCTGAATATAAAATACGAAAAAAAAAATATTCGTATTTTAATTTATTATTATTATTATTTTGGTAAGAATAAAACAAACAGTTTATGAATCATATTCGTCTTGAAATCAAAATTAAGGTTATTATAATTCTTGATTATCGTCAAATTTAAGGTTATTATTTAATAAATATTATAATAATAATAATTTATATTCACGTAATTAGTAATTAATATATTCTTTATTATCGTTGTGAATTATTGATATTATAATTTAAAAAATTTATTCCTCGCATGCATGGAAGAATTAATTTTTCTAACTTTTATTTTAGGAGAAAAAAAAAAAAAAAAAAAAAAGCTTAGACATGACAAAAGTAGTATAACATTAAAGGTAAAGGGACCATACATTTTGAAATATATCCTTAATTTCTTAAGTACTACGCCATAAAAAAGACATTCTTCAATAGTAATCGTATAAATATTTCAATAAATCTGCTCGTACTCTTTTTTATTTTTACGAAAATTTAAAAAATGACCTTACTTTATCTTTTGAAAAAGCAAAAAGAGTTCGATAAATTACACCGATATGTGGTCCAGTGCCAACCACAAACCAACCATTGAGCTAAAAAATGACGTGTTTGGCTAATCTTTTGAAAAACATAAATTTGAAAACAAGTTTAGTCCCTAAATATCGAGGTTTGTGTCTGTTTGATTCATAAACTTATAAACGGTGGTTTGTTCTCCTCCCCAATCGATGTGGGACCGCCCCCAAATCCACCCCCATTTGGGGTCCAGTGTCCTTACTGGCACATCGTCTCATGTCTACCCCCCTTCGGGGAACAGTGAGAAGGTTGACACATCATCCAGTGTCTGGGTCTGATACCATTTATAACTACCCAGATCCATCGCTAGTAGCTATTGTCCTCTCTGTGCTTGACTGCTTTCCCTTTCAAGCTTCTCCTCAAGGCTTTAAAACGCGTATGCTAAGGGAAGGTTTCCACACCCTTATAAATGGTGGGTTGTTCTTCTCCCCAACCGATGTGGGACATCACATCCAAGTAGATGGAATTTATGGATAAAATGATCATAACGAGAAATACTTACACAACGAGGTCGAGCGGAACCTATCACTGTAGGATGTGGTTCAGGGACAAACCATGTTAAAATCTCTCGAGGTTTAAAAAATATATTTTCAAAATTAGAGAGAAAACTTTAATTTTATAAATTTATTGAAAAAACAAAGATTAAATTTGAAAATGTGAAACTACAAGAAGCGAAGTGATAAAAAAAATCAAACTTTCTCCTTCCCATTCAAAACAAAATGAGCAGAAAAGTAATTTCATTTTCAAAAGCGCGTGGGACCCTTACACACTCAAGTCAACCATTCCACTCCACTTTCAAAGTCAACGTAACCACAAAACAAAATTATTTATTTATTTATTTTAAAAAAAGAATGTAATGTTTTATGAATGAATGTTGGACCAATAAAAGAATTCCAAAACCGAATTCCAGAAAAATGGGACCCTCTTCTGCAAATTTACCTTTATTTTATTTATTTATTTTTTAGCTCTTCTCTTTATATATAACTCTTTTTAATATAATCACTCAGTTTTGTGCAAAATCCTTCTTATTTTTGTTGTAAAAATGGATATTTTCTTGGATCTTAACATGGATCCTTCTTCTTCTTATGCTAATTCCGCCATGGATGACCCTCTTCATCCTTCTGTGAGTTCCTTTTGCTCTCTCTTTTTTGGCTATTTTCATGGTGATTTCTGATATATTATGTTTTGAAGCAGAAAAAACACAAGTTTGAAGAAGAAATGTATTGGGAGAAAGAACATCTCTCATTGAGCTTGGCAAACAAGGTGAACCCCATGACCCATTACCTTAATTTTGTGTTTTTTTTTTTTTAACTACCGAGCTCGTGGTTCAAATCACTCTACAAATAGTTCCCGATTTGAGCGAACCCCATGAGCCATCGAGCTTAGTTTATTGGGTATATCTTATTTTTTTAAGCTCGTGGTTCAAATGACTGTATGAATGATTTCCAATTTGAACATAGGTCAACTGATTGATATAGTATAGCAAAGTTCAAATTTTGAAGATGTTAGGGTTTCTCGTAACGGTACATCAATAACCCAAGTAGTTTTGTGGATTGTGAAGGGGCAGGGAAGCGATTCGAGCCGGAGATTGGAAGAAGAGTTGGATAGGAAAATGGTGGAGAATGGGAAGCTAAGTCAGATGTTGAGAATAATGTATGAGAAATACATTAATCTTCAGAAGCAAGTGGTGTGTTTGGTGAGCCATCAAAAGCAGAGCTCAGAAATGGAAGCTCTAATTTCTTCAAGGAAGAGAGAGGCAGAAGGAGAAGAAGAAGAAGAAGAAGAAGAAGGGATTTGCAGCACAAGAGATGAAGATTTCAACAGGTGGCTTAAGAGGCCAAGACTCAATGGAAACCCTAAGGTTTCTAAGGTTTTTGTGCATAAAGATGCATCAGATCCAAGCTTGGTAAGTTTCTTAGCCCTACAAAACCCTAGCTAGCTAGGTTTTAGACGTAACTAATTAGGGTTTCGGTTCGGGTTTGATAACCCGAGACTCACATCTGAATACTGAAAGAGAGAGAGACTCGTCTTGCGTATTGGATTGAGTACAGGGTCGATGCTTCTGACCGAACCACTGTTTGCTTCACCCAACTTGGTTTTATTGTTCCCTTTCATAAATTTGTCCATAAGTTTGACTTTAAAAAGTTGACTTTTTAAAGCTCGGATTTATTGTTGAATTTGGGTAGGAAGACCTATAAAGATTGACACTGAATTCAATATGAACATAGCTCAACTATAATTGACATATACTTCATTTTATGAGGTCAAAGATTCAAATCCCTGTTCCCATTCAATGGTTAAAATTAATTTTGGAGCGGTGATTTGGGTAAGAGGGTTTGATTTAGAAACCCTAATTGGTATGAATTTTTTTTATGAAAAAGGTGGTGAAAGATGGGTATCAATGGAGGAAGTATGGACAAAAGGTCACAAGAGACAATCCTTCTCCAAGAGCTTACTTCAAGTGTTCCTCTGCACCAAATTGTCCAGTAAAAAAGAAGGTAAATTTTGTTTATAATTTTGAACAGTAAATAACAAAGTAAAAAATGGAAAATGATGTTTTAAAAATTACTGTGTTTTTTTTTTTTTTTTTTTTTTTTTTTTTTTTTTTTTTTTTTTTTTTTTTTGTGTTTTTNGGAAGATCCAGCAATTTTGGTGGCCACTTACGAAGGAGAACACAACCATGCCAGCCATTTTCAAACTGAGCTTTCTTTAAGGTCCATCAATGGCGGGAAAGGCAGTGCAGTCCCGGTCTTAGCCACGATCAAGCCGTCGTGCGCCACCGTGACCCTCGACTTGATTCATGAAGATGGGCTGTTTAAGAGTCCTAAAGATTACGCGTCGTCGGAGTCGGCGGTGTCGACGGAGGCAGCGGTTTGGCAGGAGTTTCTAGTACAACAAATGGCTTCTTCCTTGAAGAAGGATCCTGAATTTGCTGGCATTGTTGCTGGTGCCATTTCCGACAAGGTTTTGGGAAACCAAACAGAGAATAAACCTTAAAACCCTCAAATGCTAAAGCCTTTGTGTTCTATTTTTGCTTTCTTTTGTAAATATTTGTTTGTTTGGATTATGTGTTGATTATCAATTTTGTTTTGTCAAAAAATAAATTAACAAGCCATTTTAATAATTATATAATCTATAAATAACATATAAATTAGAGTGTGTCTCTAGGATATATATATATATATATATATATATATAGTAAAAAATGTTATTAATTTCGTTTTTTTTTTCTTAACCAAACATTTGAATTCTTGATCAAATTTCTTTTAGTTATCAAAATCTGACTTGATTTTTAAAAACACCGTAGAAAATGAGATGAATACGACTCTCCATAATAATATGATATTGTCCACTTTGAGCATAAACTCTATGTCTTTACTTTAGGCTTCCCAAAATATCTCATATGAATGAAGTTAGTATTCTTCACTTATAAAATATGATTATTCCTTAAATTAGCTGTGGGACTTTGGTCGTCCAAAAATTTTCATCAAGACCAAGTTCATGTTTTTTTTTTTTTTTTTTTTTTTTTTTTTTTTTTTTTTTTTTTTTTTTTTT